CCAATAATTCAAATGCGCCCACACTTTTCCTGTGTTTCTGGTGTACCTAAACAAAAAGACCCGGTTATTGAAACCTTACATTTGTCCTTTTCCAAGAAAAGACACCAAACCCATGAATTCTAACACCATGCAGTTTTGTACTTTTTTTCATCAATCCCATAATGTTAGCAGGTGGGAGGGCAAAGAGTGGGTGCTCTCTAATTTTCAGAGATGGGTTCATATTTAACAATAAAAAGCAACAATTTTGTCAGAAGCCTCTGGATGCTGGCACAACTCATTTTATCGTGCTTTACTGTGCTAAGCAGGTAATGTGTCCTTTACAAAATGAAGGATTGCGACAAGCCTGTATCTGCAAGTCTCTCAGGACCAGTTGTCTAACATTTGCTCACTTCATGTCTCTGGTCACACTCTGGTAATTCTCACAATATTTCAAACTTTATTATTATAATTTTTTATGATCTGTGATCAGTGATTATCATTCAATGAAAGCTCAGATTATGGTTAGCATTTTTTTAGCAATAAAGTGTTTACAAATTAAGGTATGTACACTGTTTTTATAAGAGATAATGCTATTGCACACTTACTAAATCGCACTATAGTGTAAATGTAGCTTTTACATGCACTAGGAAACCAAAAATTTCATTTGACTCACTTTGCTCCAGCATCTGGAACCAAACCTGCAATAAATATTTCTGTACACCTGTATTTCATGATGCAATTTTGCTTAGCAAATGCAGAGTTCCTCTCACACAAACTGGTGTCAGTGATGTGTGGTGGAAGACATCAGCTACTCCCAGGACTTCCCATTCCTTTTCCTGGCTACTTCACCTCCTGGCCTCTGAGAACTCTAACTTGAGCTATTCTGAAGTGGATTTCATCTTTTGCCCTTTACTCCATGCTGCTAGATTACTGGTGGCTAACACACAGATCTAAGATACTTAACAAAAGCAAAAGAATTTGGCTATAAAAATTTTTTCTAAGTAAGCAGACGCTAATGATTCATCCACCCTGCTTACAAAACATCAGCATCCAGAGGCAGGTAATCTAAGTCAAGCGCAGTATCAGGATGTTTTCATGCACCAACTTGTGTTTGCGTGCAAATGGTAATTCAAATACAAATAAACGTTCAGAAATATAAATAATTTAAAAATTAGGTATAATTTCAATAGAATAACAAAGTTTACACTTAAAGAGACCCAAACTAAGAAAGCTGATACCTCGCTTTTGGAATGCAAATGCACTGCTGGCAGCTCAAGGCTTCCCACCAGGATACACAACTTATGTATGCCCTGAACGCGGTGACCACTATGTGAAAACATGCATAAAAATACATCCTAAGGGAAAGAAAGGAACATGACAAAAAATCATTTTTGGTGATTTTTACAACGATGAAGGGGTCAACTCCTTAAGACCTAACAGTTACAAATATATACGTGTACCTAACAACGAAGCCTGGAAATAAGAGTATACATACAAAAGCCAACAGATCTGACTGGAGCAACAGAAGACAGTCTGCTTCCAGGAATGAGAAGAACAGGTGTACTGTATAGAAGACCAAGAAACAGAAGGGCCAACAGGCGTCTACACAGCACCTCACCAAAACCCAAATCTGCAATACTCTCAAACACGTGTGGGACAGTCTCCAAGACACACCAGGTGCTCGGCCATAAAACACACTATATTTAAAAATTAAAAACAGAATTTTAAAAAGTGTGTTGTCTAACCACAATGGAATGAAACTAAAACTCAATAGCAAAAGGAAATTCAGGAAATACACAAACATGGGAAATTGAACAAGTCCTATATAACCAACAGGTCAAAGAAAAAAGTCACAGGGAAATTAGATATAATTTGAGATGGATTAAGATGAAAATATGTGAGATACAGCTAAAGCAGCTCTTCGGAAGGAATTTATAAATGTAAATACCTACATAAAAAAATCTCATCAATAACCAAACCTTCTAATTTCTTCACTGAAAGAAGAGCAAACTAAACCCAAAGCAAGAAGGAAGGATAAATAAGGATCACAGCAGAAATAAATGAAATAGAGAATAGGAAATCAACAGAAAAAAAAAAAAAAGGAAAGGAAAGGAAAGGAAAGAAAAGAAAATAAAAAAGAAAAGAAAAGAAAAAGAAAATCAATGAAACCAAAAGTTGGTTCTCTGAGAAAAGCAAACGTTGACAAAAATTAAGCTACAATAACCAGAACATAGACTGAAATTACTAAAATCAGGGAACAAGTCTACCAACCTCACATAAATAAAAGGGATTCTAAGGGAGTAATATCAATAACTATGTACCAACATATCAGACTGCCTCAGCCATGTGGACAAATTTTGGGAAAGAGACAAACTAGTCAAACTGACCCAGGAAGAAGTAAAATATCTACACAGTCTTATAAGAAGCTGAGATTGGATGAGTTATCAAAAAACTCCCCACAATTTAAAAAAAAAAAGGCCTAGGACCAGAGGGCCTCAATGATTAATTCTACCAAACAGTTAAAGAAAAATTAACACCAATCCTTTACAAACTTTTCCCCAATAACAAAAACAAAAGCATAAGAGAAAGGAACACCTCTTACCTCATTCTGTGAGGCAAGTGTTAGCCTGATACTAAACCAGACAAAGGCACCCCCCAAAAAAACTACAGCCCAATATGCCTTATCAACACAGAAACAAACATCCCTAACAAAACATGAGCAAGCCAAAGCCAGCAACATATGAAAATTATATACCATGAGCAGGTAGGATTTATCCCAGAAATGACAAGTAGTCATTTGCCTGGGTGGCTCAGTCTGTTGTGTCTGGCTTTTGATTTAGGCTCAGGTCGTGATCTCACGGTCATGAGACCAGGCCCCATGTCAGGTTCCATGCTCTCAGCATGGAGTCTCCTTATACATTCTCCTTCTCCCTCTGCCTGCTCACTCACTCTCGCTCTCCCCATCTTTCTCAGAAAAATATAAAAATAAAACAGAACTAATCACTGTAATACACTATAGTAATAGGAAAAGGAACAACAACCTCAACAGATGCAGAGCACTTGATAAAATCTAACAGCCCTTCAGGATAAAAACATTCAAAGAACTAAGAGTAAGTACAGGAAAATCCCTCATCCTGAGGAAGGGTAACCACGGAGAGCCATTCTTTACACTAGGTGGTAAAAGCCTTCCCCCTGACATCAGGAGTGTGACACAGAGGTCTGTTCTTCACATCTATTCAGCATGGGACTAGTCAGAGCAACTAGGTAAGGAAAAGAAAGAAAGGGAACCTGATTGGAAAGAAAAGAGGAAAACTATCTCTTTGCAGATGACATGATCCTACATAAAGTCCTAAAAAAATAAAAATAAAAATCACAAAAGATTATCAGAACTGATAAATGAGTTCAGCTCAGGTTGCAGGATATAAAATCAACAAACAAAATCAATCGTATTTCTATACACCTGCCATTAACAATCCATGGACGAAAATTAAGAAAACAATTCCCTTTAAATAGTACCAAAAATAAAATACTTTGAATTAACTGAACTAAAGATATGTAAAGGCTTATACACTAACACATGACGGAACTGAATAAGGCCCAAATAAATGGAAAGATACCCCTAACACATGGATTGGAAAACTCTATCTAGTTAAATGGTAATATTCCTCAAACTGATCTACAGATCCACATAATCTCTATCAAAACTCTAGCTGCTTCTCTGAACAAACTAAAAAGCTGATCTAAAATTAATATAGAACACAAGGGACCCAGAACAGCCAAAGAAAATCTTGAAAACAAAAAAAAAAAAAAAGAAAATCTTGAAAACACAGAACAAAGTTGGAAGACTTAAAAAGAGTTTCTGATTTAAGACTTACACAAAGCTACAGTAATGACAGTGAGGTGCTGATATAAAAGAGAAAACAGAATGCAAAAAAAACCCAAAGTCAAGACACACAAAAAAATCAAAGACCCTGAACAGATCCTCAGGGAGCTGTAGGGCAACAAGAAAAAACTAAAGTTTGTGTCACTGGAGTACAGGGACCGCTCCGAGGGCCATAGTGGCCTCCCACATGTGCACACAGGCCACATGGACAAAAGCCCAATAACCTGAGATCCTCCCAGAACTCAAGGATGGGAAGTCTGAGGCGGTGTCCTTCCTGCCCCATGGGAGGCTGCCAGGGACAGTCAGATAAGGTGCCCTTCTGATGAGATACAGAGCTATCTGCCCACCCCCTCAGAATGTGAAAGTGCTCCAAGCAACGGGGCATCTCCAAATGGTCACCCTGGTCTTCTGGCCCCTTGTCAGCACGTGGGAAGAGGATCAGGGCTTCTCCTTCTCACTGTCCACAGAAGTAACAAACTGTCTAAATCTAACAATAGCCTGTGGTATCTTTACCAGTCACAGTCAGCCTCAGCCTTGGCCTTCTGTGACCTGACACAAGGCCCTCAGAACAGAGGAAAGAACACAAGGCTGCAAATGTATTCGAACAAATAATGGCTGCAAACTCTCCCAAATTTGGCAATAGAAACTTAAAGATTCAAAAAGTCAAGAGAATCCAAAAAAGGTATACCCAAAGAAATCCATACCAAGACATCATAATTAAACTTCAGAAAAGACAAAGAAAAATCTTAAAAGCAAAGGAGAGAGAAATGAAGCATTATGTACAGAGATGGGGGATGGACAGACACAACAATCTGGATGACAGTGATTATCTCATCTGAACAGAAGCACACAAGACTCATATCAACATCCGATCCTTAATGAACCACCTGGTACAGCCACAGCAGCCTGACCTGGACGCCCCAGAAGGGCTGTGTGTTCTCAGGCTGTGTCCCAGTCCTCACAACCTCACTTCACCTCTGCCCAGCCTCTAGGTGCTGCTGAGAAACTTTTCTTACTTTGTCAGCATGTGTTAAGTTTTATTTCATTGTTCAGTTATTATAATTCAAACTCTTACTCTGCAAGGAAAGTGATCTGTTGGGATGTTCTTAAGCAATCAAATTTCTAACAAGATACTTACGGCCATTCAGATTCAGGCTGCTTTTGGTGAGCTTCAATGACATCGATGGCAATGTTCAAATTTTCTTCCAGTTCTTTCATTCTTTCAGAATTCAGGGATGTGAACAAAATCATTGATGAGTAGGCAACAATTTTTTTGTCGGGATGATTTAAGCAAGACCTTCCAAATAAAGAAATGATGGTGTGAGCCCTACTCAGCAATATGATAAAATATGATTATGATACATACATAATAATCCTCCCATTAACAAATTGAGTGCCTACTTATGTTTTTAAGGATCTGATGAAGAATTACAACACTTTGAAACAAGTACACCATTTACTGTAAAAATAGCAATATAAAATGAGTCACAGCACAAAGCATCCAATATTAAAAATGCAGCTAACTTAAGACTCAAAAGTAAAAAGCAAATACCATCCAATTAAAGAAAAAGATAAAAGGATTACATTTATAAAGCACTAAGACTTTCACTCTTGCTAGAAAAAAAAGATCAAAGGCAAAACACACTACGCCCTTAACTACAGGCATTTCTTCACTAGTTATAAGGGACAGAACGTGTAGGGGGAAAGACGGTATACTGGCAAAAGAGAATGTGGAGCCAAGAGACCCAGTGGGAGTCCTGCTTCACCCCCTACCCCATCAGCTGTGTGATCTCAGGAAGGTCAATGATTTATCGACTATCAATAATATTATGGGTCGTGGCAGGATTTGCTTTTTCAGTTAAACTTCATAATACTCTTCTGGAGGAAACATTATCCTTATATTACAAAGACTGTGTTGACTTTACTTGCCTAAGGGCACAAAGCCAGTGCCTCCCAAAGCAGGAATTCAAATTTGGTTATATTTGTCTCACAGATATATGTGAAGTCAAATAACCTCCTTCCATGTGTTTTCTGATATAAAAATGGAAGACAATGACCTCCGTGGCCTATCTCAGGGGCTTCAGGGAGGATTGGATTTGATGCCATCAGTAAATCCACCACTCACGGGCACCTGGGTGGCTTACTGGCTGAGCATTTGCCTTCAGCTCAGGTCGTGATCCCGGGGTCCTGGGATTGAGTACTGCATCCGGCTCCCTGCAGGGAGCCTGCTTCTCCCTATGCCTCTCTCTGTGTATCTCTCATGAATAAATACAATCTTTAAAAAAAACAAAAAAACTGCCGTGTAAATTATCGTAACTTCTCTGACTGCCCTGTTGAACAGCCTCTCCTCTATGTTTCTGTGATATCTAGATTGACCCTCACTGTATCTGTTCTTACACTATGGTGTGCTCGCCTATTCCTTTATTTCCCCCAACAAAGCATGGGTTTCTGGGGAGTAATAAACATATCTATATTACCCATATTCCACTTACCAGCTCAGAACCTCACAGATATTAGGTGTCTAAAATGTTTTAGAAGCATGAATTCTCAAAAATGAGTAATTTCTATCTCTGGAGCTTGAATTCCATAATGCTTTCCTTCCACCCAAGCTTAATTATCATTAATCGTAAAGATTTGGTGCCTTCAACTCTAATTATTTGTAGGAATTTGCAAGCCGGTTATAGACTCAGTGAGCTGTATCTGCTTATATCAAGTTTATCTGATCCTGACATCAGCCCTTACACAGAGCCCAGGGCACCTCTACAACTAGACCCACCAACAAAACCACTCTGAGTTCTCTTGTCAAAGGTTAGTTTTTGAATTTCATGTATATGAAATGATAGAACCATGGTCTTTTTAGAAGTCAGAAAACCTCTTATCAATATACTCACAAAAAGAGTTCTGGGAAAGCATGCACCCAAACAATAGACTGGGAATCTTCATTCCGCGAGGCAATGTTGCCTAGAAACTGCAGGCCACAGCGGAAAGCTAAGGATTTATAAAAAGTAAAAAAGATATAATTTAAAAATTTTTTGACACATTGAATAAACATATCTTAATAAAAAAAACCCACATTATAAACAAGAAGTTTCTGTTAACTTCTAACAAGTCTCTCACCTCAATGAAATTCTGGGCACAATGCAATGTACTCTAGATAAAATTAATTAACTTCTTAGAAAGACTGTAAATATAAACACAAATAAACCTTTAATTTATAATAAATATCACTGGATTACATGTTCCAATTAAGACAGGTACTCTTAGACTGGATTTTTTAAAATCTAACTTAATGCTATTTAAAATAAACATCTAAAATGTAAGAATATAGAAATACTGAAAGTTAAAGAATAGTAAAAAGATACATTAAGCAAATACCAGCCTATAAAGGAAGTCATATACCACTTAAAATTAGACATAATAGACATTAAGGCAAAAAGCATTACTGGAGATTGTTATTCATAGTCATTTCAGCACCCCCCCCTTCCCCCGCTCAGTCAGTGGAACATCCAACTCTTGATCTCAAGGTTGTGAGTTTGAGCCCCAAGTTGGGTGTAGAGATTACAAAAGAAAATAAACTTAAAAAAAAAAGTCATTTCAGAATGACTTAATTCACCTGAAAGATGTAACAATTTTAAATTGCAATCACCTAATAATATGACCTCAAATATATATATATATACACACATAAAAGAAAAACTGACAAAGGTAGAGAAGGAGAAAAATCCTCAATTAAATTTGGCAGTAGTTATACATCTTTCTGGGTAACTTATAAAACATGAAGACAAAAAATCAGTATATTTAAAGGATCTTAATAGCATTTAATAATAACCTAGTTGACATATTTAGAATATTTCACCAAATAAAACTGCAGAATATTGGACAAAATCCAGAATGCTGACAACACCCAGTGCTGGCATGGATGTAGAGCAATAAGAACGCTCATTCATGGCCAGTGGGAACACAGAAGGGTGCAGCCCACTCCGGAGGACAGTTTAGTTCAATGGTTTCTTACCAAACTAAACATACTCTTAATGTACAATCCAACAATCACAATCCTTGGTATTCACCCAAAGTAACTGAAAATGTATATACACACAAAACTCTGCACATTGTTTACAGCAGCTTTATTTGTAGTTGCCAAATGAAAGCAACCAAGATGTCCTTCTGTAGGTGAATAAACTATGGTCCCTGCAGACAATGAAATATTATTCAGCACTAAAAAGAAACGAGTCATCAAACCATGAACAGATATGGAGGAAACTTACACATTACCACACACATTACCAAATGAAAGAGGTCAATGAAAAGCCACATACTGTACTATTCCAACTATGATTTTCTGGAGAAGGCACAACTATGGTGACACTACAAAGATCCACAGTTGCCGGGGTAAGGGCAGGGATGGCGAAAGGCAGAGAACACAGAACGTGTAAGCCAGGAAAACTACTCTGTGCGGTATCATGATGGTGAATACAGGTCACTCACTGCATGTAGTTTTGTCCAAACTCATAAAATGTAAAACCCCATGAATGAACTATAATGTAAGCTATGGACTCTGGTAATAAAAATGTAACAAATGTAATAAAAGGCAGTCCCTGAACACAGGGGGTTGGGGTATGGACATGGTCACACAGTCAAAAATTCACATATGATTTCTGACTCCCCAAAAACTTAACTACGGATAACCTACCAGAAGATTTGCTGATAACCTAAACAGTTGATTAACACACGGTTTGTCCATTATATGTAGTGTATACTGTATTCTAATAAAGCTAGAGAAAATCGTAAGAAAGAGAAAATACATTTACAGTGCTGCTCTCTAACACATCAGTATATATGCGGAGCTGAGCAGTTCAAACCTACTGCACAGGGTCAGCTCTCCCTCTGGAGCCAGAGATTGACAGCAGGGGAAAGCTGTGCAGGTGTGGGGGCAGGAGATACATGAGAAATCTCCGTACCTTCTCACTGTTGCTGGGAACCTAAAACTGCTCTGAATAATCGTCTATTTAAAGAAAAGAAGAGTAACAGTACAACAGAACTGTTTAGTGACCAGAAAACAGACCTACATGCAATCCCCACCTTAGTGTGAGCCCATGCGAGTATCTGACCTTTGTGAAATCCAAGCTCTTCACCATAATACGTGGACAGTGCCTGTTTTGTTAGTACTATGGTAAGGATGACATGGGAACCCACCAACAGTGTTGAGCATCCAGGAGGGAACACAACACCTGGCCACCATACACAACAGGGACTGATAAATGCTGGTTTAAAAAGTCCAATTTCCAAATGTTACATGAAAACACATTTGTTCCTGTGGTCAGAGATTCTAAATAGACAACCTGAGTGCTTACTGTGTAAATCCTCATTGAGAATCCTACCTTTGAGATAGGTATTCTCATCCTCATTAGAGAGCACAGGAGACCAAGACCCACAGAGGTTATAGGGAACCTGACCAAAGTCACACAATTATAAAGTATCACAATTTTGGATTTATTCCTGTGATTGTATTAATCCAACATGGTAATCTCATGCTTAGCAGAATATCCCATCCCCTTGGTTATACATGAAGTTGATTGGTAAAAACAAAAAAATTTTTCAACTGCAAAATATGTAGTCTTTTTGAGGACATAAGGCAAAAAGTAAAACAATATTTCACCATATAATGGAGCAAAAGACAACTCTCAACACATTTTTAAAAACTGATATACATACAATGCTCATTTACTACATCACAATTATGTTTACATACAATTACTTGGGGAAAATAAGCCCCAAAAATGATTAGAAAAAAATCCCATTTAAAATTAGAAGACAGACCCTAAATAACCTATGGGGACAGAAAAGAAATCTCGATGGAAATATGGTATTTCACACCAAACATTAATGCAAATTCCAGAAACCAAAGCTTCTAGATGGAGCTACTATGGTATACACAAAGGAATATTTTTAGCTTTAAAATGCATACTTTGGAAAAGAAGAATGAAGAAAATAAATGAGCTAAGCATTTACTTCAAGAAACTACAAAAAGAATAATAACCCCAAAATAGTGAAGGAGGAAAATAAAAATTAAGAGCAAGAAATTATTAGAAGTGAATGCAGTCAATCAAAGAAAATATCAAGAAATCCACTATGTGACTCTTCAAAAAGCTCAAAACTGACTAATCTTTGGGAAAACTGATCAAAAAGGAGAGAAAGCACAAAGAACAAAGATATTAAATTTTCAGAAATGACAGAGACACTGCCATGGATCTTACAGACACCAAAAAAGATAGTCAGAAAATATTACAAATAACATTATGCCGCACTGTTTGAAAATTTAAATTAAATGAACAAAACTCTAGAATACAGCTAACAAAAACCACCTCTGTAAAATATTCAGGGAATGCCTGCAGAGTCTTATACCATTAAGATCATCAAACTGGCAGTCAGAAAATTTCCCACCAAAAAAATAATCCTAGACCCAAGCGGCTTTACTGCCCATTCACATTCCAGGAAGAAATAATTCCAATTTTACACAACTCTTGCAAAGAACAAGAGAGAAGACCCTCAAACCAAGGTGGGGAGGCTCGCGTAACAGTGATATCCGAGTCAGAATAAGCACAGCAGGAAAACAGAAGATAACAGAATGTAAAAAATACTAAGAATATATTTCAAAATGAATCCAGTCATACACAGCATGATAAAGCTGAACTTAGACCTGTACTGCAAGTTCATTTAATGTCACAAAGTCAAAATTTATAACTTACCACATGAACCTACAAAGGACAGAACCATATGATCATCTCAAATACAGCAGGGAACATATGTGATAAAATTCAACACCCTATTCATTATTTCAAACAACAAACAAAACAACTCCCAGCCACCAAAGACTACAAGGGGGCTTCTTTAACCTAAAAATGGGTATCCAACAAAAAAATCCACAGACACACATTATAATTAATAGTCAACTGGAGAGAGTTCCTTCTGAAAGGGAAGGAGACAGAGGTACCTGCTGTCACCATTTCTAGTCAACATTCTACTGAAAATCCAGGCAAGCAAGACAAAGGAAGGCCAAACACTGGGAAAGAGGCACTATCTATTTTTCTTCCATAGTTGATGTCATTTCTAATGTACGTGGAAAATATTTTTAAGTGGGTAAGTTTTTTGTTTGAATTAATAAGAGTCACAAAAGTTGCTGGATGCAAAGTCAGTATTAAAAAATGGGGCACCTGGATGGTTCATTCAGTTAAGTATCTCATTTTGGCTCAGATCATCATCTCAGGGTCCTGGGATCTCAGAGCCCCATGTTGGGCTCCCTGGTCAGCAGGCAGCCTGCTTTTCCCTCTTCCTCCTGCCCCTCCCCAACGTGTGCATGCTTGCTCTCTCTCAAATAAATAAAATCTTAAAAAAAAAATTAAAACGTCAATAATATTTCCATAGATATAGGGAACAAGCCCCTCCCCCCAAAAAAATCAAGAAGAGAGACCATGTATAAAAGCATGAAAATGTAACTAAAAGTGATGTACAATGCCACTAAGAAAAAAGAAATTCTAAAATTTGATTGAGTGAAGAATTACACCATGTTCACAGATTAAAGGAATTCATTTTTCTCTAGAGATTAAACGCAATCTGCGTCTCAATCCCAACAGGGTGTATATGTGTGTGTGCATGTGTATAATTTTACACATCAGAGGATGTGTATATGTTTCTGTGGGTGTCTGTGTAATTTGACAAGATGATTCTAAAATTTGTCACTGTACAAAGGGCAAATAGCTGAGACGCTGTTGAAAATCACTAGGTAAGAGAATGTGTTTTCACAGAACAGTAAGCAATTGTAGGTAACAGTGCGGTACTGGGGCAGGAAGAGATAAATAGACCAACAAAAGAGAAAAGAACAAGAAACAGATGAAAATCTAAATTGGCATGATTAACAACAGAGATACAACAACAGATTATTGAGTACAAGCGATGGTCTTTTCGAAAAATAACACTGGGACCACTGGGTA